GTGCCTGACTGTCCCAGTGTCTGGACATGTCTGGTCATATTGCTCACCACTGTGCACTTAAGGGAGGATGACTCTGGAAATCACACCCTTCAAAACCCAACTCTACAAGCACATATAGAGCCAGTAACTTCCAGCAGCCAATAAACAACAGCTCTTGAGTAGTCCCCTACTGTCAGTTTAATTTCTTCAGCCTGAACCACAGGGCACAGATGACAGTCTGCTCTTTTACAGAGTCCAGAGCACACGCATTTCACATACATGTTCAAGTTCAGGTTTCCTTTTCATTTCTTAAAGACACTTAATTCCTTCAGTGCTTGGGTTCCAGGATCTTAATAGCTTTAGCTCTGTTTTTCCCTCTCTTGCTCTGCATCTAATACTTCAGCTCATAAATCTTTGCAAGCACACAGCATAAAAACAGATAAGGAAAGCTGTATAGCCATAAAACATGCTGGAAAGAACCAACATAAACCCCACCCAATATAGGGATTATAACCAACAGAAGAAGAGGCAGAGAAAGTCAGATAAAGTGGTGCTGTCAAAGTTTAAGTAAGTCTCAGAAAAGGTATTGTACGATAACTTAATTAAGCTACAGTAGATCCTAATCAGCAGTTATGATTCTGCTGATAGAAGAGCTCCAGAAGAGATGAATACAACACAGACTAAGTTTGGGACGTTTCTTTGTGAATATGGTGCTGTACTAATGGCTGAGGGTTCCTCCCTCCCCACCCCATCTCACCTCCCACAGCCTTGTACACCACCCCTCTACCAGGGACACAGATTTGGAAGGGGTCTTTTGGACCTATCTTCTTTAAGGAAAACCTAAATGCCCAACCCATTAACCATCCTTGCCTGCAGTATGCATACAAAACCACACATGGCATTGCCTTCTGCATCTGTGCAATGATGGCCACAATTAACAACTATTTCACTCCATAGGTTTAGTCCTTTTCCTCTGGGTAATTATGATCTCTCTTCCTCTCCCCAGCACTCATTTCAGATCCTCATGGGCAATGTGCACTCATTTGATTTCACATTTATCTCAGTTCTAGTTGTTTGACACACTTCAAGCAAGCTCTGCTGAAAAAACACCACAAAGCCAAAACCTCCTTCTCGTTAATAACATTCACATCACCCCCTTCTTGGCTTCTTTAACATGCTGCTTTTATTTGGTCTAATTGCAACTCTCAGCATGATTAATCACAACATTTTTGTGGGGAGCTGGGGAATTTGATAGCCCTGTCCTCATATGGATCTGATCACATTCATGCTGAGAGTCCAGGCATGCTTCCTGCGATCTAAATGTAAAAGCTTAGTATCAGATGATCCTTCTTGTCTAGTACAAACTAATTACTAGTGCTGCTATATTCACCTATGTCCCAAACATGGACTGAAGATGGAAGCTAGTTCATGTGGTTCCACCCTGGGAGATAAATTTTGCCTCTTACAAAGGTTTGTATTATGGTACATAGGTGCTCCTTTACCTAATTTCACCTCTGGACCTAGACCATTTACCAGGTAGAATCATAGACTCACACAGATTGGAAAAGACCTTTAAAATCATCAAGTCCAACTGTAAGATCATCGAGTCCAACTGTAAAAGGTTAGCAGGGATGCTGGAAGTTTTAAGAACTAAAATTACACCCAGGCATACCCTTAATCCAAGGAGCCAAAACCCTCTGTGTGAAACTGAAGATGGTAACAAGCACTATGGAAAGCAAGCTCAGAATGAATCTGTGGTAAATTCTCACATGGAGAAAGATAAGTATCAAAGAAACCTCTTCAAACCCAAGCTTGATTACAGCTTAAAAATTAAAAAAAAAAAATAATTATTTTTCAGTGCTACTGCTGAAAAGTTCTTAAATCAGTGATCTTGAATAGCATCTTTTTTCTCATAGAAGGTAGTGCAAACCTCCCATTGATTCTAAAGAAACACAAAGAGCATCAGTGTACATTTCTGAAGCATCATCTGGAGGTCATACTTTAATATTTAAAGACAACACAACCTCACTTCCCACTGTACTAGTAAGAGCAGTGTGACTGCAGTCAGTTAGCTTGTCCAGCACAGACTGAATCTTTCCCAGTTAACTGGTGATGTTTTACCCACTCTTTACCTGCCAAGACTCCCCTTCCCCCCTCCCAAAACAGCTGGAGAAAGGGTCCAGGCTGTTTCCCAGGGGTGGATGTTCCTCCCCCATTTACTCCCTCCAAGGCAGGCTGTCAGACCAGAATAAAACCGCAGGGACACCACCAAGCATCTCCTACTCACTGCTCTCCCGGGCTGTACATTCTCCACATCATTTGCTTTACAAAGCCCTTTAATTAAACGGTAAAGGCCCACTGATTATCACCTACTCAGAAAACACCATTTGAAATAAGGGCATTAACTACAGGCTCCTACTCCATACACCCGGGAGTTTCATCTTTTTCCTGATGATCTCCTACAAGTGCTATTCCCCTTTTGGTGCTTCACCAGATGTTACCACTTCTACACTGAAAGGCTGAGAAAGCAAAGAGCTAAACACGGGATTCAGCATGGTGTGTGAAGGGGGAAGGGGCCTTTTGGCAGGAGGCAGGAGATCAAATCAGATCAGGTACCCCACATTGCTGTGCCAGTGGCTGCGTGTGTGGAGGGGTGACTGGCACAGCATGGGCAGGGAGCTGTGATGTGTGGCACTGTTGTGGCACATGAGGGGCTGCAGCCAGCATGAAATCTGCATTTGACACCAATCCCAGTGCTGAAGAGACAGGCACTGTGCAGAAAGCAGTCCCACATTCCCATGCAAGCATGTATGAAGCTGGCTGGGTACCCACTTACTATACCCACCCTTGCTCCAGTGAGCAATAGCTGATGGGGTGATACCCGCACAACTGCACCATCAGAAGGTGACAAGTATGCAATAATAGGATGTGATGTTCCTAAAATCCTCCACCTAAAATCTCTGGTTGTTTACTGGGAATTTCTCACACAAGCACATCTGCAACTCTTTGTAGCCCTGACAACAGGCTGCATGTGAAATGGCATCTCCAGGTTTAAGATACTCAGCAACAAGCCCCAAAATAAGGTGGAAATACAAGCTCTGTAAAGCCCTGCAGAGCACAGGATAACCCTGCCAAAACCAACACCTCACAATTTCTCACTTATCTCAGCTGGTCTCCACACCAATGCCTTTTCCAGGTGCCCAGCTCCCAGACTCCCCCCACCAATGCTTGAGCAAGGTTGGACTGTAACAACAAACAGCCCTGAAAAAGCTTTATTTTGTTTGTGGTTTTGAGTTATTTGAGAACAAAAGACTCTCCTTTGTTCTATAGTAAAAAACCAACAACCAAACCACAACTCTCTCATCTCCCCCCAAAACCCCACCTAACATTCTAAAATACTGTTAAATTGCATTTACACAGGTACATGCTGTCATGATCTTGACCATTACTTGGAGAAAGAGAGAACCTGTAGGAAAAGCCTTTGTCACTTCTACTGAAATAAGTTCAAAATAACCACAAATAAGATAACCAACATTATCTCGCTACAAAGAATAAAATTTATTACCTAAACATACCCTTTCTCCAAGTTCCCCGTTTAGATCTGCCAGGTATAAGAGATGGCATGAGCCATCCCGTGTTGATACAAGGCAATCAGGACAGCTTAATGGACATTTTTGTGTTCACATAGAGCAGTTGCAGGTCGATGTCTGCACAAGCTCATCTCAGCCATGCTGTCCCTGTTATTCATGGCACTGAGCACACTTGGAGTGAAGGAGGAATAAAATCAGCCAGTTCTGGGGCCTTTTTCCTGCTATGTTATGCTACGCACTGTCAGAAAGTCTATCAAAGTACACATCTGAGCAGCCCATTTTGGCCTTTAGTGTTGCTTAATATAGACTTCTAAGGAGTATCTTCCATTCAGACACGGCTAACTTGAGATCACAGCATGAACATTAAACACAGACAGCTTTGAAACACAGTGGTATGCACAGTGAAGCAGCAGAGCTCAGACCAACATAGGACCCCATCAAGCTGGAGAGATTTGCCAAGCAGGTCCCTTGTCAGCAGCCTCTCTCTGTCCCCAAAGGACTCCTTTGCCCTGCAAGGGGCAGGAAAATACCTGCAAGTTCACAACACGTCCTTGTTCTGTTACACACATTACACCCCTTTCTGCTGATTTTTCTCCCCTCTAATCACTCAGCCAAGCACATTCTCAGGCAAGTTGTGACTGGAAAGGAGCACAGAAGCAGCAGCAGAAGGTACAGCCTTTATAGCACACCAATGGCAAATTCAGTAACGGGAGAAATCACTAGGTATGCACTGCACGCTGCACTTTATACAACCAAAACATCTTCCTTCCATCAGGAACCATTCTTCCCTGGATAAACACTGGGCCAGAACAGATATAGATTACTGAGAGGATATCCTCATGGATGACAGCACACAACCATACACTGAATTTAGCCTTCTTTTCTTCAGCTCAGCGTTAACAAGAACCCAGACAAAGCAAAACACCCTACACATCCTTCCTCCCCACCAGCATCCAGCCCACGGGGCTTCTGGCAGAGTTTGGATTAAAAAGCACATGAGCAGCCCCCTTGTTTCTCATTGATAGAGCTGCACACTTTGTGCAAGCTGCATCGGACATGGCTGCCTACAAGCAGCAAGGTTGCTCAGCAAGGGGAGAACTGTGAAGGGAGCAGAGTTCACCTGGCCCTCTTGGCCCAATCTGCATGGATGTTTCCATCTCATATCATATCATCTAACCTGGCACACTGCAAGGAATTTTGGGTTGTGCTGCTTACAAATAGAAGAAATTTCCAAGATAAAAGGAGTGCTCACACCAAACTTGTCTGATTTTTATGCACAGAAACATTACTAAGCAGCAAAACCACAGTAAACTTACATCAGTTTGGTTCAGCAATTTAGTTGGAGCCCTACGGGAGCTTGTATTGTTTGCTCCATCCTGGCATGTGTTCAGACCATTCATTCACTGCCCACGCTGCCGGGCCCTGACTCACCTCCCCAGTTCTTCTCTTCCTGGTGAGTTCAAAAGATGTTGCATCTTCCCAGGGGATTAGCACATCAAGCAGTCATCTCCATCCAGGATTCTAGTCTTATCAGTAGCCTGTTTCCTGAAAAATGGGAAAGAACAGAAAAAAAACCCACCCAAACAGATCAGCAAACTATGATCTGCTTGTTCCCTGTTCTCCTTAAAATATTAAGTAGACATTGACATACCGTAGTACTTGCTGCATGAAACATGCTGCTATAGGGGATAACCGGGACATTACAACGGGCTATGAATCAACTCAACTGCTGAGGTTTCAAGTCCTTTTGCTAGGCAAAAGTGAAATATGCTCCCTCACAACCAAGTGACCATTTCAGTATTTTTTCCAGTTATCTCCAGAACATTTATTAGATTAGGAGGTTTTATTTATGGACTCTGAATCTTTGCTGTTTCCCAGCAAAGAGGTTATTATCTATTTAATGTTCCTTTTGTTCTTCTGGACATTTGCATTTATTTATTCTGATTCATTGCTGCACAGGTATGAGGCTCCAACTACTCATCGTTTTAAATACACTCACAACACATACATCTTTGACATTTAAAACATCTTTCCTCTAACAGCCTCCCTAGAGCCAGAGTATCTCCACCCCAGGTGAAACCCATGCATCCTAGGATCAAACCTGCTTATGACAGCTTATACTAAATTTTCAAAGGACTCATGCAACCCTATGCAAGTGTGCTTCGTAGTTTTGGACATTTATGAGAAAATCAGAGCTTGTTACAACTGATTTAGTTGATAAGGATTCATAGATAGGGATCATTTCTCCAGTGCCTTAATACCGGGATGTTATTTACCCTCCAAATTAGCCCATTCAAAGCTGGCCTTGCTAGCAGGGAAATTTCACCTACATGTCTGCCTCTGCCCATTGGCAAGATTAAATATGTACCCCCAAGTGATTTGAATTTAGGACCAAAAGCAGAAAATGTTTGCCTGTACCCAAGCCATCAAATTTGTATGCAAGTTTCAGGTTAAATGATCTGTTTAACATTGATGAAACCAAACCCCAAGCTGCAGGCTAGGGATCTGAACCGTGCTGCAGTACCAGGGCCTGAGAAACAGAGAGCCCACTGTGCTTCTGCCAGAAACAAAATGAGCATGAAGCAAGTTTCCAATGGAAACCAAGCATGAAGAGTGTCTCCACCCCAAAATACCGGATTTCAGCTTTGGCTGGACTCAGACGAATGTGTAATGTTACTCAGAGCATCAGTCACCAATCTTACAGTGCTCAGTAGCAGCTTTCCTTTTAACAGGGGTGACGGGTGCATGTACATGCCTGTGTCTTATGCCCAGGCTTTCTTAGGTGCTGCATGTACTGCATATTTCAAATTGTATGGATATTTTTAATGCCTCTCAATTAGAAAATATCTGGAACCAGATAATACATGAGCAAAGGCATCATATACAACATGGGATTTGCAAGTTTTGGTGGAACTTGGATATAAACTCTGGGGACCTTTGAAATCAAAGTTGGTTTAATCGGTTAATGCAAGTAATGGATTTGGTGTGGCCCTGTAAAACAGTTGGAAACTCAATGCATCAGGCTGGTTTTGAGGTGGGTTTTTAACCCCAAGCACAACTGCTTGTGGTTCAACAGATGGCCATTTGGTGAAGCATTGGCCCATTTCAGATTGAGCACAGGCACAATCTTCTCACTGGACATTTTAAGTTTGCCGCAGTGGTGGTGTCTGAATAGGAACCGCAGTTGCTTTAATTTCTGTACTAACAGCACAAAGCATCACCCCACTGCATGAGGAACTGCCGGTAATGCCACCGGCACCACAGTGACACAGAGCTAACCATGAGCAATTAGGACACTAAAGGAGCAGAGTATTCAGCAGAGGTATATTAAACCTTAGCCATCATCCCATTTCACAGACAAACACATCTCCTGCTTTTCAGGCTTTCTCCAAGAGCTCTTTCTATCTCCACCAGCACGTACAGGGCATCCACTTTAAACAAAGTAATCTTTAGCTGTGATGATATCAGCTCTGCCTTTGTGAAATCCAAATTCTGCTTTTGAAGACAGCAAGGAAGGGAAACATGAAGATACTATCCTGAATGATACTCTACAACCACTCTTTTTCCCCCAGCTTATCTCATTTCACATATGTAAAGAACCACAGGCAAGACATCTCTGAAACCACAAGAACATGCTGCATCACCTCAAAATCAGTGGCCAGTTTTTGTTTAGGCAGCGCCAAGTTTTAATCTGTGCAAAACCTGAACCCAGGGGGCTGGAGACCACTTCTTGCACTAAGGACCAGGAGGATCTGCTGAGAAGCTTTAGCTTCTGGTGATGGCTTTGGGATGGGTGCACAGCCCACAAGTCAAATCAGGAAAGCACTGCTGGTCCTGAAGCATCTCCTGAGCAGGGACCTCACAACCATCTTTCTGACAAAACCATACAACAGGCATAAAAACCCTTCACTTGAAAAAGAAGGGGGGAAAAACCTCAGTACAAACACAGAGGATCTGCTTTTGAACCCATTTAACAGAAGAGTAGCTTTCACAACATAAATAACATGGCTTTAGACAGAGCTGTGTACAGAAGGATGGGACTGAGGTTGCCGGAGATGCAGGTGGTGAGGAGAGTGCCTGCAAATGAGCTGATCTCCATGTTCAACGTTTCTCCAATCATTTTCATATTAGCATATCTCTAAGTGCATATAATTTTCACATCAAAGAGTAATTTTTTAGGTATTTAAAAGGAAAAAAGAAAGAAAAAATCCTCAGATTGAAGTCGAGAATAATTTCTTTGCTGAAGTCTTTCAAGCAGCTCCTCTCTATGGCATGACAGAAAAATTACAGAGGAGACAAGCGTTTAGAAAACTCTTGCCTGGAATTCAGATTATTCTTCAAGCATACAGTAAAAAAGGTTCAGTCAAACTGCAACAGAACGTGTAAAGGAAGCCCTGGTAGCACCATCCACCCAGAATCTTAACTGAGGAGTAACCTGCATCCTCTGCTTCTGGCTTAGGGGCTGAACTCATCAGCCTTCAGGAGCTTGTGGTGGGAAGAGGAAATCGAAGATGAGCCTGAGCCCTTTTTCTCTCCCACTGGTCCTTCCTGGTTGGGGTGCGAGAGAACAGCTGTGAGCATCTCTCTCTATTTTCCTCTACATTGCTCATCCTCTGCTCTGCTTTCTACAAAGCCCTTTTGTTCCTCTGGGCCTGGACCAGAGCAGCAGGGACAAGTGCCAGGCGCTTCTCTACAGCCCTAACCAGGTCCTTGCAGGGGCCCATTTATTCCCTCCTGCCTCTTGAAGCAGCTCATGAGGCCAGCCTTTGGTGCTCTGTTCCAACAATCTCAGGAACTGGGCTTAGGCAGGAGCTCTCCTTTAATGAGATTTTATTAAAAGACTGTATTACAAATAGCCACTTAAGCAAGTGAACCTTTGGAGCCTTTAGTCCATGATGTCAGTACTGTGGCTAGAGGTTTCTTGAGAGTATTAAACCTGATGCTAATATAGGGCTGTTCTATATGACAGCTATAAAACTGCTTAAGCATACCAGGCAGGAGGCCAGCAGGGCTTTTTGTTGCCTATCAGGGCTTGGCTAAAGGTCTCCTGCAACAAGACAGGAGGAAGGAGGGTGCTAGGTTGGGATTCAGCTCTCCCTCACCTTCCTTGCAAGGGTGGAAAATCCCCTGAGACTGGAAAAATCCACATAGCAAAAGGTACACAGCGAAGACTTGTCTGCACCTATGTCTCCTTTGCTTGGTTAAATTATCCACCTCTGTGCCCAGCATGTGGGGCTCCATCTGGAGCAAGGAGGCCCCCAAAGCAGTACTGCATTACCACCCATAAGTGATACCCCACACCACCTCTCCCTCCACATCCTAACTTGCAGCCATGAGCAGTGGCTATAGGAATACCCAACAACTACCCTAAGCCAAGTGAGTTTGTTCACACATCCGATAGCACCATTTAGACAAGCCTGGCTTTTAGCTCTGCCCTCCCCTGCTCTCAGGGAGCAGGTTTGCCAACCTTCCTTCTTCATACATGCATCCCCAGGGCTACGCGTGTCCACCAGCAGCTGCCTGCCCGCAGCAAACCCTCTTGTTTGCAAATCACACCCAAGATACACAAGGAATGCGAACAGTGTTTGCCAACAGTAACTGATACTAAAACTAACAGTAGAACTGGTTTGACCCACCTGTCAGCTGGGGAACGATAAACAGAGGGCATAATAACATGCATTAATCACGTCCTAATCTGCAGTTTTCCACCAATAGGTGGCACCAGCAATTTTTGGATACGCTACAACATGGTACATCTGTTCCCTTGCCACAAGGCATCCAGCCCAGAAGATGGATGGACCATCTATTGCAATAGCAGCATTCAGCCCCTCTCTTTTCTGTTTGAGTTAGGGAAAGGTTAAAACTCCTGTAAACCAGTTTTTCCTTCCTCAAACTTATTTTCAGGAATGAACCTAACCTGAGTAAGCCTTTCAGGGAACATGGGTCTGGAAGCTATATGCAAATAGATCAAACAATTTATTTAAAATGGAAGCACACAAGAAGGCAAACAGCAAGCACACAGTTTAACACAGCAAAACCCAAAGCTTCTTGTAACCAAGTCTGGTCACTCATGTGAAAACATCGCTGTTACAGTCTAACACAATTTCAGCACATCATATAAATGTATTACCTTGATTAGTGCATCCTACAGGAGAAAACACCAAACCACACACATGCCCAAGATACACATGCTCAATCCCCATGCACACAATAAAGGAAAAGCAACCCATTCTAGATCAAACTGAGCCTGCAGCTGGCACAGTTCCACATGGAAAACCCCTCAGAACCAAGACGAGGCTAGAAACAGCCCAACAAGCAAACTCCCATCAGCCATCCCAAACCCAGTACAGGTGCATGGCATCTAGCAGCCTCAGCTTACAACTCCACACAGCTGAATTCAGCTTGTATAAATTATTAAAGAGTCTGCAGAACATTACACAGTTCATGTAGTTAATGATTATAGTTCAGTGTCTAGGTCAGATATAATTAGATGTTACATTAAAATAGCTTCACAGAGCCATTTATTCTGATTTAATTACTTAAAATGATAATATAATGAGCACTGCTTTCAAAGAAAAAAGAAATCTTTTAATGAGCTCATTTTAAGTTAATATAAGGCAAATTAATCATTTAACAAAATGTGGTAAAAGACAAGTTCATATTTTAAGATATGTTTTGCCTGTGTCAAGGAGGTTAGTTTATTGTCATGGTGGGAGATACACGAACGGGTGGCTCTTGAAACAACACCACATCCCAAATACCGTATATCTGGAACGTCTTTAAACCATCTTTTCTTCCTTCCCCAGATATACCTGTTACATGAAAGCCCTTTGAAATACAACCTGGGCTGCAGATTTATGACTATCAAACTGCATCTTTATTCCAATGTGAAACAGAGCAATAGCCATGCAAAGCAGTTACCCGAAGTAGGTGAGCTTGTGATGAAGGGTTAATTGTGGTTTGGTTCATTAATCATTCATTTGCTGGCTCAGAAAATTAGCTTTCACTTGTTTGTTTGCTCAAGAAGTGATAAGCCCATTCCCTCGCTAGCTCATCTATTTTCTTCCCTTTGCATTGTTTTAGAGATTTTAATCCTTTCCAATTTTTGTAATCAGTCATTTCGGTCTTTTAGCAGGAACATTTCCAAGCAAGCAGCAATTATTGGAGTGAAAGCAAGAAACTCTCTGCAGGGAAGGCAGCAGGCTCTGGTTCATAACCCTGCCAGAAACTGCATCCCTCTTCTTGTTGCCCCACATGGCAGCTTATGCAGGAACCAAGCAGAGGTGTCCCCTCTTCAGAGTCAGAGATACCCCATTTCTAAGGCAGACAGGACTCCCTGCACTTGCACAGGCATTTGAATAAACATTTATATTGTGTTGAAAAGCAAGTCAAGACATACTGAGAGGTTTGCAAGTCATCTCTCAGCCGCCACTTATCCTTTTCTATCCTAACCTGAAACCTCAGCCTCAGTAAGCAAGGAGTGAAAAGCCTAGAGGTATTTGTGGAGGAGGTAAAGGAGGGTCCTACTCCCAAACCTGTATTTTTTCCCTCTGCATAAAGGATAAATCAAAACCAACAACACAAACCTCTCTCGATAAGAGGTTTGCAAACATTTCCATGCAAAACACATGGTCTTTCAGCTCAGGCATCACTTGGATACCCTGGTGAGAGAGTAGAGACTGACTGTCAAACAGCGACTGCACTACTGCCACTAGGAGCATAAATAATTTGGGGCTACATGTTTCTTTCTTAATGTATCATCTCTGTTCCCAATTAGGTAAAGCCAATGGCTTTCAGCTGCCATGCTTCCTCAGCAGCAGAAACAGGAGCAGGAGTTTGGTGCTATGACAACACTGTGGGTGCCACCTCTCTCACAGGTGGTACAGGCAGCCTTCGGGTGCACCCACCCATCAACTCTCACCCCATCCCTCCCAGTTACTGGGGCTTGGGTAGACCAGGACTGGGATAAGCAGGATGTGAGCAGCCAAATGCAACCTCAAATGCCGCTCCCTCCCCTTTCCTAGTCCGCAATATGGATTTTGAAGAAAAACACAACATCTCTGAGCCACAAGGCCCCAGCGTGAGTCTCATGTCACACAGCCATTAATAAGGCTTTGCAGACAAATCTGACTGCAGTGATAATAGGCTTAAACAATTAAAAAATATTAAAAAGTCCTGTGATGGAGCATTTTTCTTCACTATTCATTGTAATGATTTTCTAGATGCAGCTCATTTTATAGCATGCAGGCAGCAGTGTTCCAGAGCTAATCAGGCCACATGTTTTCACTTTTTGAAAAGAAAACTAATTAAAAAGAAATGAAAAATGGAAAAAGAAAGAAGGAAAGAAGGTTTGCAAGGAGGACTGGGAGGTTTGGGTTGGAGAGGAGTGGTGAAGGAATCCTTCAGGAATGTATACATTCGCTCTGCTCGGCTCTGCGTTTTGTTTTCAGAATTGTTTCTGGCAGAAACCTAAAGAAAAATACGAACCAGATGTGCAAGGAAATAGTTTGTTCATCAGAAAGAAAAGAATAGCTCTCTGTCTGCCAAGAGATTTTTAGCCTTTACGTTTTACCAAGGTGATGTTAAAAATACCTTTCAGTGATGGCTTCTCCTTCAGCAACGCCAGGGGCAGCCCGGCCACGGGGAGAGCATCTCTGGGCATGGGGATACCCGAGGAGAGCAATTGCTCATGGAGGAGGTCTGCAGACCTCAGGTGCCTTGAGGTCTGGAGCACGCAGTGGCAGGCCCTGTTGTGCAATCAGTGTGTCTGGCTGCAGAGACCCCATGGTCCCAGTGCTGCTGAGCTGGTGCTGACGGGCAGGCAGCCAGCACGTCGGGCAGGTAGCTGGCAGGCAGCTGCAGCAGTTGCATTAGGGTTTTTCCAACCACTCCCAATGATTTAACGTGCCGGGGGCTCAATCCTGAGCCATGGCCTCACGGCGCTACGTGCTGCACAGAGACCAGCTCTCCCTGAAGCTGGTTTAGGGACCGACCAGCTGGGGAGACCCTGAGAGTCCAGCAGCCAGAGGGATCCCCAGCCCAGTGCTGCCCGCAAATGCAGTGATGGGTCTGCTGTGGAGAGGGCAGGCAGCTTGGCATGGAGCTGCAGCAAGTTCTTCATTGCTTGGGGCAGCCTGGAGGGAAGAAAGGGTTGGAAAGTCTCATCTGAGAGCACCCATTGTCAGAAGGGAGGTGGGAAGCACCCAGGAGCACCCTGTCTGCTCCTTTGCAGGAGGGGTGAGCGTTTAACTGCTTTCTCTTTCATTGCCCCCTCTCCTTCATTTGCCACAAGAAGCAAATCCCCTCCAGCAAGAGGACACTGCTGCTTTCTGCTCAGGGATGCTGACGCTGCCTGTGCTGGCGTCAGGCAGGCTGATGACTGCTCTTTCAGCCCTGCCCTGGCCCTGACTCACCCCACACCATTGGGATGATTCCCCAGTGCCCATGTCCACCTCCCTGGGCATCCGCAGCAGGCGGGGTGAAAACACACGCAGCATCTCTGCTGACAGAGATCTTCCCCTGCCTGTGCTGGAACACATGGGAAAGGTCCCAGGAGCGGGTCAGCAGCTTAAGCACAGCATCTTCATGGAGGAGTGAGGAGGGAAGGAACTGAAGACCAAACGGTGGGGAAAAGAAATAAAACCAAACTATTCCCTCTGACCCAAAATACTGACTTCTGATGAACTAGCCACAAGCAAGAGAGGTGGTGTTGAAGTGCCTCCATGCCTCATGGGGGCTGGAGCTGTGCCTGAAGTCCAGCTCCCCTCCCGGGCTGTGTGCTCTGTGTCCCTGTGGGAGAAAGGGGTCCCACCACACCGGGTGACCTGTGTGAAAACACCCCGTGTTCCCACACTGTCGCCTGTGCATGCTGCAGGGGTGCAGCTGCCTCTCCAGCCTGTCAGGGCCCCTGCAAGCATCCCCAGTGCTTCCAGCGAGGTCAGCAGCTTGGGAGGAGAGTTCAAGTGGAAATTAATGAGGACAGGAAGAGGGCAAGAGCGAGCAGCCAGGGAACTTTAATCTCATTAAATACACCTCAAGGCTTAATTTTGCTAAGAGGAGTCTTTTTCTTCCCTTTAGCCTTGCTCCAGCCTCCCTGCGCCAGGAACAGGCTTCAAGGGGGCTTGTCTCTGCTTCAGGCAGGTCAGAAACCTTTCTGATCCCTGGATTTGAAAAGGGAAAATAAAAGATGCTATGAGCTGATTTTCACCTGATTTACCTGATTTTCAGGGAACCGCATCAGACCCAATGAACAGGCTTTCTGACGAGGCTCTCCAGCGGCAGTAGCAGGCAGTGGGTCTTCCCTAGGTGTTTGTTGCCCAGAGTAGATGAATTTCTGTCTCTCAACAGCTTTTAATTCCAAGAAAAAAAAGTTTCCCAAGGTTTCACAATTAAAACTAAGGAAACCCAAGGCCTTACTACAGTAGTGTTACAGGATCTTTGTTTTCTGGCCAGCTCTGCTTAAAGACAAACAAATGCTGCAATCTCTGAAGCTGGCTCAGTGAATTGGCTTAGTCCTCATAGGCACTAGCTAGTACAGAAATCAAGAAGTTCAGTTTTCTGCACTGCAAAATGACAGCTTCATCTGTTTGAAAGCCAGCAGCATCAGCTTCCCAGGTCTGTCACTATCCCCCATAAATCTCAAAAGCTCAGTTTTATTTCACAAGTGTCTAAAGCAGCCGAGATTTCACACGGGACACCCAGAAGAGAAGTTTAACAGTGCATGTTTCATGGTGATTGGCAAATTATCAGGTCATTGCTCCAACTTCCACAAACATCATCAGCCAACAGCAATAAAAACACAGGTTTTGGTCTCAGGAGCCTTCAAACTGTTTTCCAGAGTTTGACTTCATGACAAGATGCTCACTACAACACTACAGAAGCACTGAGATGCTTAATTAGAATAACACAGATGCAGTTCAGTTTCTAAGTCAATCAGAACAATAAATATGGAACCACCAGATTTCTGAAAGAATTACTCAAACTTTTTGCTTGCTTTGTGTTTCAAATAAAATTTTTCTATTTTATCAATAAGTAACCCTGATGAATCACATTCCTTCTTAGGCAGAGCAGCCTCTCTTCAGCTTACCTGGGATTTGCCTTATTCAACAGTCTCAGCACTAGGAAATTCCAGCATCCACATTTCTTTCAGCTCCCCCACCTGACAGGGGAGCCAGCATGTGTACAGGGTGGATATCTCCAACCTCAACATTTCCCTGACAGCGATATCAAGAAAACACTCCAGGGGTTTTGTTAATAGAGAGGAACTTCAAACACCCTT